TTTCAGCAACCATTGTGATATGTTTTCCCCAAACTTATCACAATGACTTCTCTATGTTATAACTCTCTTTTTACTCTTTTTTAGGTACTTTTAACAAAATGCATTTCAGACTCATATTATCCCTCTTCAGTTGTTACACAGTTGTTACATAATAAACTGTATGAGACAAAGGTACAAATAAATTCCCAATTTTAACAATAAAATTAGAAGGTAAACAATAAAGTTAACTTACATTTAGTGAACAAATCAAAAGGCATCCATCCCAAATGTTTCGTTCTATTTTTGGTTCATTATGATTTATGTGTTTTAACGCGTTTAGTTCTTCACCCGAGTTAACTCGGGCAGGCTACATAGCCTTACATAAAATTCAGTCCTTTCGGCCCCCAAAAAATTTTTTGTTTTTTTTTTAATTTTTGGAATGTTTTTTAAGTCTCCAAATTTTTTCAAAAATTTTTACCCGCGCATAAAAATTTTATCACGATTTTAATTAACCTTTGATAAGGCTCGATTAACACTTAATTGTTTTTTAATGGGATTTTTTATCAAAATTAATTAACCGTTCTAAAGTTGTAGTGCATGGATTTTCCTTCGATAAAGTTATTTAAAGTTGCTTTCTGATGTCAAAAACCACCTCCAATAGTTTAATTTTTTTAATTAATAGATTTTATTATATACATGTTTAATTAAGTCGGGGGGGGTCGGAAATCGCAATAAAAATTATAATTTTTTAAAAATATTTAAAAATATATGCGAATTTTGAATTCACCCTACTTTAAACCCTTGTCCTCCCGCGACATCTATGAGAATGCCCCGGGAAATCGGACTCCAGCTGTGTTCAAGGTCATCCAGATGTGTAAACAATGACTCATCAAATTTCGCAGAAAGGCGAGACAAAGGAAAAGAAAGTTTGAAGCTTTTTCTTCAAAATTAACGCATTTCTTTCGTTTTTTTCAGTTTTAAGCATTTTTTATGTTTAATTAAATTAATATCAAAAATTGCTGGGAACTTAAGGGGTTAATATTATTTATTTGTTCGAGTGTTACGACAATATTCTAATATTTGGGATACTAAAAATGTGGTTTATACATTTCAATGCAGTTGTGAGCCAAATAACATATATATAAGAGAAACTGGTAGAGAATTAAGAACAAGATTAAAAGAGCACATCACAGCCATTAAAAATAATAATTATACCTCAGCAGTAGCCCACCACTGAATAGTCGAGGTTGTGAAATCCAAAAAATTACATTAAAAATAATTGAAAAGGAATGTAATACATTCAAAAGGAAAATTCTTGACATTTTGAAATAAGAAAATTAAATTCAGAAATAAAAATTAATAATAATGATGATATGCAGTTACATCTCTCTTGGTTTCAACTTCCCCATAGTTTAATAATAAAGAAAACACCTTTTTTTGCCGAGAAATAAATATAATTTGCAAAAACAAACGTTTTCAGCCTAGTTAATAGGCCATCTTCAGGTCGAAAAAATGGAACGCAAATGTTCCATAAATAGAACATAAAAATATTTAAATCAAAAAATTTTACAAGTAAAAATAACGGAAGAATATATAAACAAATTAATTAATTAATTAATTAAAACAGAAATAACATAAATCTTCAGTGGATTAATTCTGGTCGAAGTTTCTAGTATATTTCTTTACCAAATATTTCCATGCCGATGGTAGGCTCTCCGCATCTCTCGCATTTAAACAGCCTTCCCCTATCCTACTTCTGTATATTTCAATTTTCTCCGCCGTCATTGCTAGAGTTGGGGAAGACAGAGGCTTGATGATTGTTGCCTCATCCCATTTAACCTCAGAGCCTTGCGCTTGCGCCATTTGTGACAATATCGTTGAATTAGATGCTTTTCTTATGGCGTATCTATGTTCTTTGAG